CTTTGGCCACTTCGGCGATGTTCTCCACATTACGTCCGGTGACGACCACCTGAGCGCCGGCCGACGCAAACAGTGCGGCAGTGGCGGCACCGATGCCCGAACTCGAGCCCGTGATCAGCACTACTTTTCCCGCATAATTAAATGTGATCGACATTTTGGTCACTCGATTATTGAGTTGTGTTTTACAAACTTTTCAAATTATTTATGAAAAATTTTAATCCAACGCAAGTGCTTTTTATACAAACAATTTCTATGCCTTTTGTGTGCATTTATAATTATAGTTGTAGTTACATAGTATAGTGGATGTACAGGTTTTGGTAGGAAAGCACAGGTACTGTAGTTTCCTTAGAGGTGGGAAATACTGAATTCAATGTCATTGAATCTGTGCACCCATTTGAAGGTTGTTTTGTTATTTAAGCACTTGGTATCGTGTTTATATAACTTATTCTAGCTTAGAAAATATAAGGTATTATAGCATACAATATCTCATTTAATATAATAACATAACTTTATATACAGTATTTTGAAACTGTGCACCCAATATACAAAGAACTGTTCTGTACAGTGCATAGGTAATAATGGTTCATAGACACTTGTTTGAAAAGAATAAATGTTGGTAAAATTAGTAAAATTTGCTAATAATATTATTCATTAATTTAGTTCAGGTTATGTTAGATTTAACTAATTTAAGTTTATTTTTCAAACAAGTCAACATGTCATTGGCCCGGTAACAATGATTAAATAAACATGGTTGCCTAATGCAACTCTTTATGGATAAAAAGTTAATGTGTCCCGGATCTAGATGAAACAATCTTTGAATTTTAAAATGTTTTATACGGTAATATATATTTTCATATTATTTCATATTAAAAATCCAATATATTTATTAAAATAAATATTCAATTTAAGCGCAAAAATAATACTGTATTTATTAAATTAAAAATTATTCAATAAAAACATTGAAAATCATTATTAAATGTAAGAAACGATAAAACAAATAAATTATTTGTTAACCAAATTAATGTTAAGATTGTGTGCTTTAAGGCGATCGAAAATACCGGTGCCTTCGAATAGTAAGCCCGGAGTAAACACACCGCCTCTGAAATTGAAAACACAAATATTTTTAATCATGTTAAATAACATGATGCAATGAAATTAATTATAAATAAAATAATAAATGTACTTTTCTGGCAATTTATCCAATTCTTTGATTAACGTAATGCCCGACTGAACCAAACAAGTACTGGTGGCCCGATATCCCGGATCAAAACCGGTCACTTCAACCATAACAGTCTTATTGGGCGTCTCCGTGGGCTCGTCGGTGGGTTCGGACAACTTCTCGCTCCAACCTTTGCCTACAATAAGTAATCTAAAGGTTGCGGCCATTATCTGCTCGCGTGTCGGACCAGTCTTTGTAAATCTGCCGAACGAGAAGACCGACGGATAGGACTCGAGTAGAGATCGGCCCCAACGGAAGGGCGCCATCACTGCTATGACTGCGCCCAGAGTTATAAGGCCTATGAGTTGAACGAAAGTGTCGGCGATTAAGTAGGACTCGATTTGTGTCGGCCTTTCATTGCATTTCTCGTATTTATATCGTTGAGTCCGTTGAACAACAAACGGATCGCAGCCGGGAAACGGCACACACCAACCCCTCACGTACTCCGACCGGAATGGCATCGATCTGTTGAGTTCACAAATTTGTTTAATTTTGTATAAATTATTAATTTTATAAAATGTGTTACTTTTTAACCAATGGAAACTTGGTTTGCGGCAGAGGTTTAGCGCATATTTCTCGATAGAGTTTACTCCGAATAACTTTCAGCTTATTTTTGTCGGCGATTCCATGAATTGCCGATTGAAAGGTACCGACATTTGTGGCCAATCCCTATATCACCGATAAATGTATAAATGTTAAAAGTTAACAAAAACATATATAAGTTATAAATTATAACTAATAAATGCAATACTTTAGGTCCTGTATTCAACGTGAAAAAAGTTTCCACAGAATTGAGTTCTCCATTGAAGTGCTTCTTAAGGAACTGAACGCCTAAATCACAGGAATACTATCCCAACCGCAGGCACTGGCAATGTATATGCCTTTCTCTTGGGCCGCCTTATTATACTTCAATTGCATTGACTCCATGTAGTATTGAGAGCCACTAATGTCCAGATGATTGGTCACCGACGCAATGCACGCCTTCACCACCTGTTCGCCGAAGAACTGAAACGGGCCGACAGTATTCAACACAAGTCGAGTCCGTGAAGTCATTGCCCGCAGAGACTCTTCCGACTGGACATCGGCTTCAATGGTGGGAATGTTTGTCACGTCTATACCAGTCTCGGCGCTCGCAGTGGTCAACACTTTAGCCAACTTCTCACGACTCCTTCCACTGATCGCCCATTTGATGGACTCTTGTTGTGCACTTCGGGCCAACTCTTCGACAACGAACTGACCGGTAAAACCTGTGG